AGTTGCCTGAACTTGTGTTCCACCCATTGTGTGCAGTATTTGCTGCCAGAGGCAAAGCAAGGCAGCTCAAGTAATTTGGATACATGAGGTAGAATTTGCATAAGAACCTTTTTCCCATGACTGGAAATATATAGTAACAGCATTTTAAATAATTAGCAATTTGCTATGCTTTTGTGACACCCAAAATCTGCCACCCAAATCAGCTGCCTTGCCCTTCCTAACAATTTCATTTGCAACCCTCCCATATTTCTCTTTATTTCATGCTTTTTTTTCTCTCCAGGGGAAAAAATCTGGTAAGGAAGAAAAAGAGTAGGTGTGCAATGACTTTCTGTTCTTTAGTTCTCTGGTAGTGAGTCTGATTGGGCTTCATATATGTCTTTAGTTCTTATTTTTATTTCTTGTTTGCTATATAATATCACACTATATCTATAGCAGCGATGGCGAACCTATGGCACGCGTGCCACAGGCGACATGCAGAGCCTTCTCTGTGGGCACACGAGCCATAAGTCACCATCGAGAAATACTTACCTGTCCTCCGATCCCGCATTTCGGCACTCCCCTCTGCTGGGTGCAGTGATCCAGCAGAGGGATGCCATGGCGGCCATGACCAATCTAACCCAATGGGGGATTGGAGGACTGGTAAGTATTTCTCTGTTAATACCGCCCCTGGGGGGGGGGAACCCAAGCATTTAAATGTTGCAGTGCAGGGGCAGTTGTTTTTCTCAAAACTAAAAACTCAGTATTCAGGTTTAATTGCAGTGTTGGCACTTTGAAAGAAATAAATCAGTTTTGAGTTGCAGTTTGGGCACTCAGGCTCAAAAAGGTTCACCATCACTGATCTACGGCATCAAACTGTTAGGCTAAGGTAAGGAAATGGTCCTTGGTATGTGGCCACCAGTGACACTTTGGAGAGATGTATAGGGTATCCTTCTCATTCATATTCTTCCAGCCAAAAGAAAGTTGTTTGGTTTTGGGAGTATCAGATTGAAGGAAATATAAGACCAGAACATTGGCTATGGTGCATAGATTCCATAGTCAGAGCACAGCGCCGGTGTGTGTTATAGGAATGGAAGATTAGAAGCAGCAAGAGGTTTTCTGCCCTCCCCCCCCCCAAGGTCAAGCCCCATCAAATTTCACAGGTTCCAAGACACCCATGTCAGCTCTCTACCATGGGAAGCATCTTACCACAGAGGTCTTCCGACGTATCTCCATTGAGCCTGTCGTGCAAAGCCCGCGGTCCACAAAACCACAGTTCCTTCCTACTTTGTGACATCAGGGTTCTAACCCTGTGGACTCCTACAACAGGAACCCTGTGGAATCCTGTGACTAAAGAATCACAGAAGTTACTGTTCTCTCTTGCTGATAAGTAGCTCTGGAAGTAAGCAAAGAGGCCACAAACCATTCCAAGGGCAGAACAAGAAGACATGATGGAGTAAGAGAGGAGAAACTGGCAAGTCAAGAGAGGGACCTAGGAGGACCAAATTGCTTGCCTGCTCCTCCCACTTTAAAACCTGATGCACCAGCCATGCCTCATCCCAAAGGTTAAGAGCCTCACAAGTGTCTACAAGTCCTGTACGTTCAAGTGCTAGGGTGCTTTGTCTAGAGACCCGGATTTTCCTCTTTGGAAATGATGATTTTAGGAATAACATGTAACATTATGGTGCTTTTTTCAAGGAATAATATTTGTAATGCCAGTACCTGAGAATAAAATCATACCCAATGTCATTTGTACCGTGTTACTTCCAAACTGCATTCTCGAAGGCTTTCACAGCTGGGATCTGATGGTTGTTGTGGGTTTTTCAGGTTCTTTGGCCATGTTCTAAAGGTTGCTCTTCCTGACATTTCACCAGTCTCTGTGGCTGGCATCTTCAGAGGACTGGAGTAGGAACTCTGTCCATGCATGTCCAGAACATGGACAGAGTTCCTACTCCAGTCCTCTGAAGATGCCCATGGCCACAGAGACTGGCGAAACGTCAGGAAGAACAACCTTCAGAACATGGCCAAAAACCCGAAAAACCCACAACAGTCATTACTTCTGAACTCTTATTCAGTATAACATTTACTGATTTACAGTTAGTGTCCACTGTCTTTAGTGATATGAATGAAATATCATAGAGTCCAAACTTAAAGCATTATAGTTCTTCCTACTTCCCTGCAAGTGAGCAAGTACAAAACATGATCGTTTGTTGGTATTTCGCCTAGAGTGGTCATGACTGACCAGATAGGCGGGATATAAATAAAATAAATAAATAAAATAAATAAATTCAAAAGCTTTTACATTTTGTTTTTATATACTTACATGCATTCCTTACTTTCTTCATGTGTCTTTTGCCAAATCTGCAGTTATACTTTTTGACCACTAAGGGGATGTAGAAGACCACAGAATTGTAGAGCATGAACATGTAACCATAGCTATCTATTGTCAAGTTGCTTTTGACTTACTTATGGCCCAGTCTTGTACTAGGGCTGTCACCAGGCCAATAGAAATATTGTAGTGCTCACAAGGAGATCAATGTGTCTATGGGATTCATTGCACTTAGTTTCAACAACTTTTAGACAATGTGATGTAGTAGTTACTGAATCTCAGTGGGTGGCCTGTCACTTTCTTATGAGCTCCCCTCCATTACAATGCTGTTCAGAGGGGAAATTGGGCAGGAAGACAGGCATGTATTGCTGAAGTTCATTGGAGTAAGAAGTAAAATAAAATTAAGCAGGCAATAAATTAACAAACAAACTTCACCCCCATCTACACAAGAACATTGTAAACAGCCTGTCAGTGCTTAACCAGGAGGTTGGAAAGTTCATTACAGTATCTAGTACAGGGTAGAGAATCTGTGATCTTCCAGATATTATTAGGCCATTGGTCATGCTGGGCAGAATTAGTTGCAAGTGGCGCCCAAGAACATCTGGCGGCTTGCAAGGTGGTACACAGTAAAATATGTCACAGAACAATAAAGCAATAGATATAATCCTTAAAATATGTTGCATACCCCATGTTTCCATAAACTAAACCAGTTCTAAGGACATAGCAATCGTTCTGGATCAGACTGAAAACCTCTCTAGTCCAATTCATCCTCCACAATTTCTCCACGGTTGCCCATTTGGATGGCCATCATCTGCACTCTTCCTGGTGTAGCACATTCCATAATTTAACTGCGTGCCATTTGGAAAACCCCTTCCTTTTAGATGTCCTAAGCCAGTGATGGTGAACCTTTTTGAGCCTGAGTGCCCAAACTGCAACTCAGAACTGATTTATTTCTTTCAAAGTGCCAGCACTACAATTAAACCTGAATATTGAGTTTTTAGTTTTGAGAAAAACAACTGCCCCTGCACTGCAACATTTAAATGCTTGGGTGTCCCCCCCCCCCAGGGGCGGTATTAACAGAGAAATACTTACCAGTCCTCCTATCCCCCATCGGGTTAGATCGGTCATGGCCGCCATGGCACCCCTCCGATGGACCACTGCACCAGCAGAGGGGAGTGCCAAAATCCAGGGTCGGAGGACGGGTAAGTATTTCTCGATGGTGACTTATGGCTCGCATGCCCACAGAGAGGGCTCTGTGTGTTGGCTGTGACACACGTGCCATAGGTTCGCCATCACTGTCCTAAGCCATGTGTTCAGCTTTCATGCCTCAGGTCATCAATAACAATTAACAAAGGGAACTGTGTGGGTTCAAACAAGAATTGAAAGTTAGGGAAAGCTGAAGTCCTTACATGACAACTGGCCTGTGCATGACACACACATCTGTTTTCTTCCTCATTGCCCGTCTGGGTGTATGTGTGTTATGTGCCATCAAGTCAGAACTGACTTATAGTGACTCTAATAGGGTTTTGAAGGCAAGTGAGATATTTAAGGAGTGATTTGAACAGTTGCACTCCTCCAGTGAGTTTTCATGGCTGAGCGCGGATTTGAACCTTGTTCGCCAGAGTTCTAGTCCATCATTCTATCCACTCCCTTGTTTGCCAGAGTTCTAGCCCATCATTCTATCCACTACACCACACTGGGAATACTACATGGAAAATGGGACAGGGTCCTGCACCTTTAGCAGTTGTTTAGAAGAGGAGGTTTCAGCGAGTGCCCTTTTTAATGCAAGCGATACCTCCTGAAATTTCCTCCTTACCTAATGATTAAAGGTACAAGTTCCTGCTGTGTTATTCATCTAGCCACCCTACTCCTCATGCTATACAAGGAGGAATAATAACTCTGTTAAAATACTTCCATGTCAGAAGTTCTTAATTTAATTCCTGGAATTCCGGATTAAAAATATGAGGTTAACGGGAAATGGCTTCAGTTTGAGACCATGGAGAGACACTGCCGGTCAAAGCAGAGAAGACAGATTCAGATAGATAAATAGTCTAAACTGGTATGAGACAGATTTCATGTTCAATTCAGCAGTGCTGAATTCCAAAACAAAGCCTTATTGCTGCACAAAAGTGCATCGATGATATTGTGTGGCAGAGCAAATCAACTTTATATATATACGTATAATGTTGATTAGACTATTTATCTATCTGAATCTGTCTTCTGTGCACACACACGCACACACATATAAAAGATGACTTTTAAACTGGGCTTCGAAACAAATCAACAAAAAAAAACCCCACAAGCCTCAATAATACTGAGGCTACATAGAATATGGAAGTATCAGCGATCTTCTGGGTAGGGTTAGGAAAGAACGCAGCTTGAAATCCTAGGACATTTGCTGTCAATCTTGGCTGATAGCACTGGGCTAGACAAGAAGTGGGGTGGAATTCTTGGAATGAAAGGACTTCTACTCCCATAATGCGGTGAGAATACCCTGGCTGAATTGCATGCACAAAAACTCAGAAACGAGCAGGAGGTAGAGCAGCCCTCTTACCTCCTCGGTGAGAATACCCTGGCTGAATTGCATGTGCAAAAACTCAGAAACTAGCAGGAGATAGAGCAGCCCTCTTACCTCCCAGCCATTCCTGTGTCTGCCGAGTGGGAAGGAAAGCACCCTCAGCCTTTCCTGTACCGTGTCTGCCGAGTGGGAAGGAAAGCACCCTGCTGCAGTGGAGTCACAAGGATTTCCTGCGATTCACAAATGTTCATAGGAAAGTGAGTTCTGATGGAGGCTGATCACAATTCATCCTCCTAGGAACCTTTACGAGTCACCAGGAATCCTTCCAAGTTACATACAATTAATGGTATTTATGCTGCTGCTGTTTTGGTTATTAGTGCTGGTAAATTGTAATTTTGATTTTTTTTTATAACCGTTATGTTTGATGATTTGTTTTTTACCGTTACTGTTTAATTAGGCTGTAAATCGCCCAGAGTGGCCTTTCAGCCAGATGGGCAGTATAAAAGTCAAACACATGCATACATGCATTCATGCATGCGTACATACGTGTGTGCGTGTGTGCGAGCATGCCTACCTGCCTACCTGCCTACCTGCCTACCTGCCTACCTGCCTACCT